GTGAGGCGAGCTGCTACAACCGCTGGCTGGAAATGAATTGACACCCGGGGGGGGGGGGGGAGGGTACTCATAGTCGTAAATGCCGTAGTCGTTAGACCATTTACCTCGCATCCCTACAAAACCGGGACGGAGCACGCTGGGTTCTCACCGGACCAGGCTCTCACATCACCAAGTGCGGAGCGCCATGAGGTATTCGGCAAGTCGCATGAAGGGCCCGCTGCATCCTGCAAAGGGTGTTCGGCATCATGTGCTTACTTCCTTGCGTACGGATGACAGCTGCGTATGACTTAATTCTTTTCTGGTGCTTTCACTTCCGGAGACTGTTGTAAGCGCTGTGTAACTGCCTCGAGGGTGCTTGACCAATTTAGCACAACGTGGTGCGATTATCCCGTTTGCGGGCAGTGAGGGTACTCGACCCCGCACAACATAATCTACTCGACAACCATTCACGGGTACCGCAAAAAAGAAACAGAGGCAAAAAAAAAGCGGTAACCTGGTTGCCGAGCTCACGAAGTGAATTGGCTTGTTTTACAACATCGCTGCCAAGCGACGAAAACCCAACCCCGATGTCAAACACCGGGGGGGGGATCGGCATGGGTGGGGGGGGAATAGCGGGAAGAGCCAGGAGCCGGCAGCAGTGTCCACCAGCATCTAGAGCCTTTCTCCCATCCATTCATCCCCCTCCTCCCTCCGGTCCCCACTCTATGGTAGGGTGGCATCCTTGCGTTCCAGCTCGCGACACCTCAATCGCTCGCGTTCTCCGCCCCCGTTCCCCCCATCGCCCTTAAGCCTCGCCCCCTCATCCCCCCACCCGTCCGTTTCAATCCATTACAGCTGGTTCTCCTACCCCGTTCCCCCCCTTCCCGCCTCCACCGCTCCCTCACTCCCCATCGTCCCGCCTTACCTCCGTCCCACCCGTCCCACCCTGCGTTCCTGTACATGCAATGCCAGCCTCGGCCACTGTGTCCGCCTCCCCCCCTCCCCCCCGCCACCATTCCTCCCCCCCGGCTCCACACCCTCTCCCGTCCCATCCTGTCTTCCGTTCGGTCCGGCCTGGCACCCCTCCTCGCTGACCCTCGAGGTCATTCATTTCCATCCAGCGCTTGTAGCAGCTTGCCTGGCTCTCTCGCCCACCCTGTCACCTGTTATTATTGGCCTCGCACATCCGTGTTGATCGCCCTCTCCCTCCCTTCCTCCGACCATACGATGCGCACAACCGCTCACCTGTCGTCTGGGTCTAGTGAATCTCCCGGTACGCGCAGGCCCAACTTCTTCGACTGTATCTAGCCAGCTGGTCAAGCGTTCTATTTCCCGAGTTTGCGTCTTCCCGCCCCACACTAAATGGGCAATCTCGGAGGGGCGCATATTTTTGAGGATGGCCGTCCCAGAAATATTACGTTGTTCGGAAATGGCCGGGTTTGAAAGTTTCTCCGGATTGTCCGTGTTCTCAAGCTGGCAAATGCGTGAGTGACACAAGATACCAGTCCCGGATGATAACGTATGCTCAAGATTTACGAAGTTGTCGAACCGGATTCTCTAGGGGGGGTGATATCTAATGTGAGACATGTTGTAGGCAACAATTTGCGGTGTCAGCGGTACGTGCGGTGTCACGCCCTTGTGAGAGACAAATTACGTGAGTGATTGAGCGTGGGGCCACCGCTGGAGTCTGACCCACTGCTGTTCGAGCCTAGGTGCTATGGGGTGTGGTGTTGTGTGCGTGTTCGTCCCCCACCTATTGGTGCTAGATCGCACATGCTCATCGGCAGAAAAAAAACAATTCCCTCGCCTGATTGATGTGTGTGAGCCGTGATGACGACGGTCGTTCTTCTTGGGTGTCAGAGAAGCGCAGGTTAAAGTTGATCGCTTGTCCATGGAACTGCCTGCGGGAGACCTAATGAATGGTGGGCCCGGGTGATGGCAAAGATTTGCGGGACATTGATTGCTTGTTTCCAAAACCAGGGTACATTTTTTGAGAAAAGGAGCCACGGCAGGATATACCCTGCGCTTTTTCTGACGCAGCGGAGTGAAAGTGGGCGCCGACCAATCATATGAGTGCATTTACTGCTGTCAATGACTGTGTATCCAGGTTGTGTCGCTTTTCGACCAGGGTATACCCTGTTGTGTCGTTTTCCCTACCATGTTTCTAGCCGCAGTACCAGCAGAGCAGAGTGCTCGAGAAGGCCGGTCACCGACACAGCCAACCATTAACGCAGGAGGCACCAATCAAGCTGAAACTTGCTGAGGGCGTCTAAAGTAAGCAGGACGGCCGATAGTCTGATTCCTCGTGCCCTGGGCGTTCGGCTCAGAAGAGTGCGTGGTTCGGAGCTCAGGAGTGAACGTGATCATTCATATTAATGACTATTTTTTACCGTTCTGTGACACCTCTAGGGACCGTAACGGTCTCATGAAGGAATGATCTGTCGCCGATCCGTTCACACGCAGTACATGATGCGTGTATGTACAGTAGTGTGACATCGAACGCTGTAGGATGCAACAAAATGCGAATATTTCTGTCTGTACTCTCTACATCAGATTGAGTATTGTTAGCCGATGGCTATCCGCCTTCGCTTGCCGTTTTCTTCTTGACAAAACCGTCGTCGCAAGGACGCAACAATAATTATTACACGCTACAGGTATGATTGGTCGTGTGCGAACCTTTTCATCTCGTTTGTGTGCTCTCTACATGTACATACACCACCTACCTCCAGAAAGACATCAAGGATCTCTTGAGTGATGACTAGCGTTGATTGGGTTCAACTCAAATTCCGCGTTTTCAACGCCCGGTGGAAAAAGACCATCTCGAAAAAGAACAACCGAAAAATTCGGAGAGGACCAATACGGATGCCCGAGGCAAGCTGCGATCCCAATAACCACAGTCGGGGCTGGGTTGAAGTGTTCAGTGAATCTTTACGTTCTCTTGACAACTTGTGAGGCAATGCTCAGTCAGTTGGGGTTAACAATCGTTGCGTGCCTCGCGCTACCTACCAAGCAAACTAAACTAACTATCGATTCTCTGCACAGGTAAGTTGGGCAACTACCGGCAGCAGCACCACTACCTGCGCCGAAGGACACACGTATAGCAGTAGTGTGTAGTGTCCGTCGTCGGTTCACGGTTCACTGTCTAAAAAAAGAAAAAATGTCTCGCACGGGACGGTTTAAAAAAAAAAAAAAGTTTTCTATGTTTTTTCATGGGATGCATGCGTATCCGCACCCCTATCCATCGAAACTTTATCTCCTCCTGCGCGCCCCCTTCACGATGCCGCCATGCCGCAAGCCGGCAGCTCAACCTCTGACTCCCTTTTTCTGCCGCCACGCACAGTAAGCTCAGAGACGAACAGCTGGAAGACATCCGCCCAAGCACTGGCGTGTGGCTTCGGTGATTCACCCTGCAGCGGAGCTCGAAGGTTTTTCCTGTGCTTCGACAACACTGCTCTCTGTGTGTCTCCAGACAAAGAACACCCCATCAGCAGCGGCAGCAATTTCGACAGAGGGAAGGCGATACTGCTGTAGTCCCTAGGCACTCCATTGGTGCAACAAGTGCGGTGGCGAGGCTCGTACCCGACGACAGCAGTCGCAAGGAGAGAACCGTTTCACAAGATGTCAGAGCCCGATGATTTGTTCACGCTGCGCAACCACTTCTGGCTGGGGAGCTATCAACTCGCGATAGCGGAGGGATCAGGGCTTGGCCGCTTGCCCGAGGCGCTCAGAGTGGAGAGGGACGAGTTCATCTACCGGTCCTACCTCGCCCTGGGACAGTTCAGCATCGTTCTTGGAGAGGTTTGTGTTGGTGTCTTTGTGCGCAATTTGTCACTGCTGAGGTTGTGTTTTGAGCTCGGGGGTGCTGGGTGTTGGGAAGGCTGAATGTTCGGCGTGCGGTGCAATCGACTCGCCCCCCCGACCCCGGTTCTGCGACGTCCGCACACCCTTCCTATACCCTACCCTTATGCTCTCTCTGTCTATCAAGGGCGGCAACACACGGCCTTGCATGCCAACGTTACAGAATTGAATCGGCTTTTCGTTGCAGAAGGATGAGCTCTCTAGAAGCGTAATGGATTCGAGGTGCGAACACATCGTGTGTGAAGGAGCAAGCAAATACCGTTCATGCTCAGAACATCGGGAGAGGGCAAACAGCAGCAACAGATACATATCGCGGGGCTGGGATTCCGGGTTCCTCGGGGTGGCGATTGCGATCGTTGCCAACGTATTTGTACCAGTATCGTATCCTTTCGAAGCACCCACACAGAAACAACTGTTGTCCGTGATTTCCTGTTTTTGAGCAAACGAATCTCTGGGAATACACCCATGACATCTCAGAGACTCTCCTTCATTGTAGTTGATTAGTTTTTGGGTTTCAGGTGGTGTCGTGTAGAGGACTGGAAAGCGGGGTTGGCTTCATTTGCAGACGGGCAGAGGGGGAAAAGGTGCTCTAAAAACCTCGCTCAATATGGTTGTTTTGTACGTCAACGCCATTCCAACATTCCAACGCGTCCACCGCCCCTGGCGGCTCGTTCCACCAACACGGGCCTCTCGGGAGTAACGAATCGAAGCAGGACCAGCAGGGAGAAAAGGGAGGCACCAACCTTTCCATGGACGCGCCTTGAAACTATTGGCAGACCTGGATGGTGTCGACGCCCTTCGGTCCCCGCCCCCCCGCCCCTACTACACAAGCACAGCGTGCTACCACGTCATAGCTCAGGACTACCTTCCCCCAGTCTACACAGAGAAATACGTCCTAGATCACATGGCTCCCTTCTCAACCTTTTTTCTCCTTTCTCCAGATCAAGGACGATGCGCCTCCGGCCCTCCAGGCCGTGCGCCTGATGGCGCAGTACCTGTCCAACCCGGAGAGCCGAGAGATCGTGATCGAGACCCTGAAGATGTGGCTCACCGACCCGGGTTCGTGCAACAACCCGACGGTGCAGCTGCTGGCGGCGGCGGTGTTCACGCACGAGGGGGATCTGAAGGAGGCCGTCCGGAGTATCAGGAACGGGGTCACCATGGAGCAGTGAGTTGTTGTTGTTGGTGTTGGTGTTGGTTGTTCGTGGTGTATTTTGTATTTTGTTGTTAGTTGTGTCGCTTTCGTTGGTGTTGGTGTTGGTGTAGTTGGTGGTATGCTGTGTTGTTGTTGTTGTTGTTGTTACTGTTGCTGTTGCTGTTGCTGTTGCTGCTGTTGTTGTTGTTGCTGTTGTTGGTGGTGTCGCTGTTGTTGCTTGTTTCTGTTGTTGGTGTCGCTGGTGTCGGCATCGTTGCTGTTGTTGGTGGTGATATGTTGTCTGAGTGTTGTTTATGTTTTCGGGGCATCAGGAGCCGCGGTACCCGACAGGGTTGTCTGTTATGCCGTCGTGGTGCGTTGATTCGTTTTGTGAGTTCGTTGCTGTTGTTACTCAGGCTACAGCTTCATTTTTTCGTGTTTTATCTCGTTCAACCGCATCCGTGCGTGAGAAGACTGAGGCTGTAGCGCAGACGTTTTCGGAGGTCTAGCTTGGTGCTACCGCTCACGCGGATATTGACGCCGACCTAGCCTGCACATGGTCGGAACCCCTCAATTTTCAGAGCATCAAAAGCTCCAGTTGGGTCGCAGGCCCTGCGTATGGCTTCACTTCTTATTCGCAAGGGCTTGCAAGGGCCCGTTTTTGTTGTCGATGGTGGGTCGCCGCAACACCAACAAAACAGTCTTAATGAATGCTCATCAATCCAAGCTACGTTGCCGAGGTCATCGCATTCGGTAGCTTTTCTCTTGATTAAGAACCCTGTCTTTGTTTTGTGCGCGCCTCCCTCGTGTCTGCTTTCCGCATCGTGCAGGACTGCTATGCTTGCTCAGATCTACCTCAGGATGGACCGCGTGGACCTGGCCTTGAAGCAGGTGGGGTTGGTTTGTGTGTTCCGCGCACCCCAGGTGCATTTTGACGACGTGGTGTGTGTCGGTGAGTTGATTTCCTACCGGGGTAGACCTGCGCGAGATGCCCGCGGGGCAGCAGGTTGGCTACCGGTGAGTAGGTTTGGTCTCCTACGCAGTTGGCGTGGAGGAAAACGGTTTCCGATATGATACACTACTATCACGTGCAAATCCCAGGCTCGACCACCGCAGGACACAGCAGCAGCGAGTCAGCAGTACAACACCTGGATGACGGTAGGTTTTCACTTTCCGGAACCATAACGTCCGTCCAACACGACACCCGCTGCTGAGTTGGCTTACTCGAGATCGGTCACCCCCAAAAATTCGTTCATTTGTTCGCTTGTTGTTTCAGGTCCAGGTTTTGCAGCAAGCCGACGACGACGCCACGTTGACCCAGCTAGTGGTTGCCTGGGTCCACCTGGCGCAGGGGGGCAAGCGGTACCAGGAGGCCGCCTACATCTTCGACGAGCTTATCGACAAGTACCAGGTACGGTTGTGCGCCCCCCCCCCCCCCCCCCCCCCCCCCCGGCAAAAAACCCCCCCCCCTTTTTCCCAAACCCTTTGGGGTTTCAAAAAAACATTAAACCCCCAAATTTTTTGGATTTCCAAAGGGATTTTTTTCCGCCCCAAACGGGGGGGGGAAAAAAGGGGGGGGGGGGGCTTTTTTTTTTTTTGGGGATTTTTTTTTTTTTTTTTTTTGGGGGGGGGGGCCCTCCCCCCCGGGGTTTTGGGGACCTTTGTGGAAAAAACCCCCTCTTGGGGACACGGGGGAAACCTTTTTTTTTTTTTTTTT